AGACATGTGGTGAAGCTAGCATGGTCACTTTTGTCCTAGGCTATGAATACACCTTTCTTCCTGTGGTGGTTGGTTTCCAGTCAGCTTGACACCAGCTGGAGTCATCAGAGAGGAAGGAGCCTCAGCTGAGGAAATGCCTCCATGAGATCCAGCTGTAAGGCATGCTCTCAATTAGTGATGAATCCATGGGAGGGCCCAGCCGTCGGTGGGTGGCACCATCCCTGGGCTTAACTTGGCTTTCAGTTGCTGTGAGAGATATCTGTGCAAAGGCAGAAAGGGCTTTTTCTTTCTGATGACATTACAGCTAGTACAGCAGAAGAGGAGTCAGGGCAGTGCTTACCGACTGGCTGGTTTGCCTTTATTTAATTACTTAATTTGCTGCCAGGACCACCTGCCCAGCAGAGACGATGCCCACAGTGGGCTGGGCCTGCTCACACAGAGCAGTAATCAAGAAGTGTCCTCACAGATACACCCACAGGCCAATCCAATGGAGGCATCTTCCTCAGTCTAGGCTCTCTCTTCCCAGTTGACCCCAGTATCAAACTGACTGCAAAAGAAAACAAACGAGCAAAAAACCCTACCAATGCACGTAGCCATAGGACTTTAAGGTAGCAAGGCAGGAGTCAGACTCTGAATTCATTGTTTTATTCAGTTGGTTACCAAAACAAGCAAAAATCTGAGTAAATGTTTCCTAAACTTTCTAGAAGCTCCAAGCTTCTCCAAAGCAGTCCCCATAACTGAGAAGGCACCTGTCGTCTTCTTCCAGCAGAAACCCCGCCTGAGCAACAGCCCACACAGCGGGGCTTGGGAGGTGAGAGGCTATTGCCAGAGTAGATTCAGCGTAACCGCTACTCCAACCCCAAACCGAGCCTCCTTTCTCATCTGTTACATTTGTGCTGTCTTTTCAGTCACCTAACTAAAAATATCAGGGCCTCTCCAACTTGTCCGCTTTTTTATCATTGTGCCCTTGAACTGCTCCAGCCCTCCCTCGTGTCCATGCCCATTGTCGGCACCCATGATGACACTTGGCACCTTTTATTTGGGTGTGAAACCCCTCCCCCACCTAATCCAGTCTCCTTGCTCCCCATGCCATTCGTTTTTTGTTTTGTTTTGTTTTCCCCAAGACAGGGTTTCTCTTTGTGTAACCCTGGCTGCCCTGGAACTCACTCTGTAGACCAGGCTGGCCTCAAACTCACAGAGATCCACCTGCCTCTGCTTCCTGAGTGCTGGAATTAAAGGTGTGCGCCACCACTGCCTGGCTCCATTAGCTTTCTTAAACCCGCGTCTAAGCAGGCCATGCCCCATGTCTGCAGGCTCTCCACCACCTCCCAGGACCTATACCTACCTCCCTGGACCCACACCCACCTCCCTGGACAGCTTACCCGGCCCGTGATGTCCCATGGAGCTTCTACTCTTCCTAAGACAATCTTGCTGCCCCTCCACTCAGCTCCTTCCACCTCAACACTGCGATCGCTTCTGTATGTTCTGTCCATAGCAGCAACCTGCCTCGGCCACAAGGCAGTTAACACCACCACCTGTCACCAGATTCCTTTCCACCATCAGCTAAGACACATGTGGCCCCCTTAAACATGTCTACAAGACACAGTTCTTTCTCTTGCCTTTCTTGTCTTACTACTCTTCCTTTCCTATTTGTCTGTGTGCCTCTGTTAAGCCCCCCTCCCCTCCACCCTCCGCCCTCCCCCCATAATCCTCTTGCACTAACTCTGTTTCGAATGGTATGTTTGCTTGGTGGCATACCTTGACAAGGCCTGCCAAAAGGTATCCACGTTGCCTTTTAAAAAAAATCATCACATATTAAAGATGTACAGGTTAAGATACACGGGACGAGGATAAAATGTGGGTTATATATTTTATTCTGGGAGGTCACTTACACGAGAAACCAAATGACCTCCAAGTTCCTACTCCAAGAACCCACACCCAGGCTGCTCTCTGTGACCCAACTGGAACCAAGAGAGCAAGCCTGTCCAGGACCCCAGACCAAATACCACCCACTCACCTATGCACCGGTGACCACGCCCACTGGGCGTGGTCAGTGCCACAGGTGTGGCTGGGTGGATCTCTCACCACAACATATGCTATTGGGACTGAATTCCTCTCTTTGTTCCTTTTGCAGTTTGCGTTCAGATACATGGCACTCATTCATTCATGTGTGTCCAAGCTTACATGACTTCTGAGCCAAGCAGATTTCTAGGCTCCATGACCTTGATTTTGACCTTTGACTGCTGCAGACTCTCAACCCCAATACATAGTGCCTTATTTTTTTATATCCACTAGGCTGGATGGTTAGGGCATGGAATACAGACTACCATTTTTGTTAGGAATGGCCCCACTGATTTGGGAATGTTTTCTCGTATTTTCATTAGTTTTCTCATTTGAGAATTCCAGTGTAGAAAACATTCTGGCTTCTCTATTCCCTACTCTCTCCTGTCTCGGACTTACCTGGAGCTAGGTTGGTGCACCCCTGCCCCCACAATACTGGGCTCACATCCTCCCAGGCTTCACTAGCCTTTGATTTGTTTTGGTTGGTTGGTTAGATGTTTTTGAGACAGAGTCTCTACATAGCCCTGGCTGTTCTGGAACTCATTTGTACACCAAGATGGTCTCGAACTCAGAAATCCTCCTGCCTCTGTCTTCCAAGTGCTGGGATTAAAGGAGTGTACCATCTCTCTAGCTGTGAAAGAACTGGTGGACCAAAAATCAAAATTAATAAACCTTTAAAAACTTGGGCCCTAAACCTATACAGAGAAAGGGAACTTCTAATGGTAAAGGAAAATTTAACTCCTTAAATCAGGAGTGCCATGGCTGGCACCTGAGCCCCCTCTCAGAGAAGGGGAGGTGACTGGCCACCACTTATGTCAAACACTCCTATGTCTGCTAATTGCTGGTCATAAAGGTCCCCTGATGGTTGTAAAGATCCCTCAGCCCAGGGGATAAGTGACAGACCCTGTGACCCTGTAACCCTGCAACCCCATGCCCTGTCTTATCTTACTCAAAGTCTTTTGCTTAAAATATATAGTTAGTGCTTTACTCTGTACTTTGTATGACCTTAAGTAGCCATAGAAACTCTAGAATTTGTGGCCTTCAACCTCATGGTCTTCCCCTTTAAAAGTTTCCCTTTATGGCTAGTTGGCATCTCATCCCACCCCCCCAACACCATGGAGTGAGATCCAAGATGGCCAGCTTGAACAATACAGAGAAACCTTTGTATTTGCATTGGAATTGTAAGCTTCTTGGGTTGGTCTGGGGCTATTCAAACCTGGTACAACAAAAACCTTTTTTTTTTTTTTTTTAAAGAAATGCAAGTATTGGAAGAATGGACAAGGAAAATGTGGTAATATTTACACAATGGAGCACTACTCAGCAGTAACAAAAAAAAAAAATGACATCTTGAAATTTGCAGGCAAATGGGCAGAACTAGAAAAAGCCATCCTGAGTGAGATAACCCAGATCCAGAAAGACAAATATAATATATACTCATTCACTCGTTAGTGGATATTAGTCATAAAGCAAAGGATAACCAGCCTACCCCAGCCATATGGATAACCAGCCATAACCCCAGAGAACCTAGGTAACAAAGAAAACAGTTAAGAGAGGCATACATGGATCCGCCTAAGAATCGGAGATAGACAAGATCTCCTGAATAAATTGGGAGCATGGGGCTAAGGGGGGGGGGTGGGAGAGGGAATAAGGGAAGGGGAGTGGGGGGAAATGTATAGCTCAATAAAAATTAAAAAAAGAAAAATTTGAGTTTTCTGGGAGTGGTGACACAACCTTTAAGCACAGCACTCAGGAGGTAGAGGCAGGAGGATCTCTATTTGTAAGTGCAGGGTCTACAGAGGGTGTGGGGAGGGAGGAACAGAGTCTAAGAATTTAAATCGAAGGTGTTTAAACAAAGACATCAGAGCTCTGGGGCCTCTGAACCTAGCTGATCACATGTTCACTCCGATACCCTGTGCATCTGGACGTTTGCATTTCTCTACAGTAAGGCATTTTCATAAAGGTGATTTGGATTGATCCCATTGTCTTGCCTCCTAGGTGAGGTGTCAGTGGGAGGGGTGAGCTAATGACCTCAGGTGGCTTTGTCCAGTCCCAAAGCTCTGTGAGCTCTCTCAGGGCGTTCACAGGAAATTGCCCTTGGCTTCCATTTTCCTGCTGGTCAGGTGAGATTTGTTGACACCGATGACTCCCACGAAGAAGGAGCAGTCTTTGCTCCAGGGAGATCTAGAGAAGAAGAGGGCTCGTGATCACGCCTGGAACACAAGCTCCTGGCCAGCGATGGTGAGCAGAAAGGAACTTCCAGCAACTCCCTGTTCCAGAATTTACAGCTTCCTAAGAAAGTCGTTTTCAATTTTGTAGCAGAGTTCTGGAGCATGCCTATCCACTCGGCTGCTCCCGGACGCGGAGCACAAACCCCTCCTGGCCTCATCAATTTTGAGCCTTCCTTCCGTCTCCCAGAAGCGAACCTACAACTCTAGTAATGAATGGTGGCATCCGATGCTTCCTCCACTCCCTCTACTTACCCACAGGGAAGCCTTGGCACCTCTGAGAACCCCACGGGCTATGCTTCTGCGTATCCCCGGCAACTTCCCCCTGTCCCCGGGAAGTCACTGGCCTGCCGCCCAGCCGCCAGAGTCGGGCGCTGGAGACTCTAGCTTTAAGACAGAGGTTTCGGCACTCCGCTCTCCCCAGACACACCTGCTTTCCCACTGTCAAGCGATGCCTCCAGAAGAGAAGGACAAACAAACTGACAATAGTCACCAACACCACCAAACCGTGGGGTTCCAGGGCCCTCGGCACCGTTTGCCCACGAAGGGGCGTGGCCCTGGAACCCAGGCGTGGGAGCCAGACTGTTTGCTGCTCACAGAAATGCTGCTCGTCGCCAAGGTCTGGGCCGGTTCAGGTCAAGTCCCTGCGGGGCGGGGCGGACAGGGCAGTGCTTTAAGAAGCCAGGCCTGGGGACGACTGAACGACCCGCGCCAATGGAGATCGCCAGGGACTACGCGGGAGCCTTCTTCAGGCGAGTGCGCCCTGCGCCCGGGGTACCCCGTTTGTCTCCATTTCCTGTGCTCCCCGGGTCCTCCTGCGACCCAAGTCACTCTCTCTCCGTGCGTTCTTTTGAACCTCGAGCTCCTCCTCCCTCGCACACCTCAACGTCCCCGGCCTCAGCTGCTCCCTCGGCTGTGGCACTCCTACAAGTCCATACCTCAGGGCCTGTCCCCACCCTTGCCAGCCATCGCCTCCCACCCAGCAGCCCCGAGGTCCCTCCCCCAGAGGGTCGCAGGTGCCCGGTGGGTCGCTCCCGAGGTGCATGGTAGTCCGTGAAACAACAGTGGTGAGCGCGCGGGATCGGCAGCATCTTTTGTAGCTCCTACAGACTACTACAAACCCTGGCAATGTGTCAATGCTGGGGCGACAGAGCTTCTCCTGGGTGCTGGGACTGAGAACCAAGTTGGGTGGGGGCGAGGGGAAGAATCCCGGCTTAGGAACTTTGGGTAAGTGCGGGCTTTGCCTACCCAGGGGAGGCTGGGCTCACCCAGGTTTGCAAGGGCAGTTTTGGCTCCCAGCCAATCCCACATCTAGGCCTTGCTCAAGTCACTGGCATCACTCCCCTTCGGTTAATCTCCAAATGCTGACAGAATTTTTGAATATCTCTGTATGTCTGTCTAAGAAAGAGACAGAGACCCAGAGAGACGATGTGGAGACAGAGACAGAATGAGAGACAGTGAGGATGAGAGAAATAGAGATAGAGAACAACACACAGAGAGAAGGAATTAGAAACAAATAGAGGAAAAAAGGCAGACATACAGGGTCCAGCCTAGCTTAGAACTAGCTGAATAGAATAGTCCAGGCTGGTCTTGAACTCATAATCCTTCTGCATCTGGTTGTCTAGTCTATAGAGTCAGGACCAGCTGCATGGCAGTGACTCCATATAACAGGTTAAATAAGTCTTGACTCTCTAAAGATGGTGAAAGTACTGCCAAGGGATGATGAAGAAGCCCATGTTGGTAAAAACACATCGCTGCCCCACCCCCTCCTCGGGTGACAGAGCTCTTGCAGAGAAATCTCGGTAAGGAAGAATGGAGTTGCCAAATGTGGGTGCTCCAGCAGCTTGTGAGATGGGGTCACCAGGGGAACTGTGTATCCCTTAAAAGGTTTGAAAAGTAGCTATTAAATGAAAAGGCTGGTCTCCAGGGGTGGTACCTGCTTCCTGGTGGACTGAATAAAACGCCTTGACTTTAGGGGTTGGGGGATTTGTAAAGGCTCCCAAATAACACTGTGTACCAGCCCTCAGCCGCAGCAGATGTGTTGGAGGATCATGGGGCAACTTCACAGTGTGAGATTAGCTCTTTGTCAGATTTCTTAGTTCTACCTGGAGCCCTGCTCCTCCTCCCCTTTAGCTTCCCCAGTTTCCTCCACTCCTGTGTCTGCTTGTTCTGGGAAACCTTATTTTTGCCCATCCATCTTGTCCTTCTGCTCACACTGGTCCAGGGCTTCTCTTTGCCACCTTCACACGTTATCTGCCCTCACCAACACTTTCAAACTCAAGGTCAGGAGCCATGGCTCTGTGGTTTTCTTCAAGGGCTGAGGTTTATGGATGTTAGTATTAACTAAGCAGTTGCCAGCTGTCCTCAGAGTAGGAAGCATGAAGGTAGTACACTTGTGTCTAACCATGCAACAGTTCGCTGAAGTCAAAAATGTATCTGGGTGATGTCTCATGGTGTCATGTGTGAGGTGGAAACAACTCCAAAAATCAAAACACTGTAGAATATATGATCCATAGCACCCTCCATTCCAGCCTGGCAAGTCCCAGGAGCTCATGCCTTTTTGTAAGTGACAGGCTTGCTTCAAATCTCAAAATTATCTACCCACTTCCAGACCAGCCTGCTCCGTCACCCATCATTCCAACCCAAACTGGAAGAAAACAACCTATAATACTTGCTGGAGAGAAAGATTTTTTTTTTCCCCCTTCCCCGCCCGCCCTTAAAATCCTGTCCAGACTAAAGAGCCACAGGCAAGGTCCACTGTTTGCTTTTTGTGGTATTGTATTTCTGCTTCCTTTCAGTGAGTTTAAACAGCCCAGCACTTACACTGTAGTTATCATTCATTAGTTAATAACTGGATTCTCCCAGGGAGGTAACTTTATTGATAGACACCTTATGAAAAATTAGATACTAGTTCCGAGAGTGGGGAGGAAGCCCTGGGCAGAGATGGGAGAGAGGGGTTAATTGTAAACAAATGTGGAGCAGGAAAAGTAGCTTGGGGGTAGGAGTGCTTGCTGCAAAGTCACGAAGACCTTGATTGAGACCCCAGCATCCTGATGTAAAGTCAGGCATGCTCACAGGCACCCAGAACCCTAGCCCTGTGGGAAACAGGAGGAGAGTGGCTGGGCCTCAATGGCCACCAGCGTAGCTCCAGCCTCAGCAAAAGACCTGTGTCAAAGGAATAAAGCCGAGAGACTGATAAAGCAGGATACCCGGTGTCCCCCTTCAGCCTGTGTGTGTGCTCACAGATATGTGTACACACACCATGTTCACACAAAGTACAAATTCTTGAACGATTTTTTTAAATTTTATTTGTGTGCCTATGTATGCACTATTAAGTGTGTGGATGCCTGAAGAAGACTAGAGATGTTTGGGAGCCCCTGCAGCTGGAGTGACAAATAGTTGTGAGCCCACCTGATGTGGGTGCTGGGAACTCCTTCTAAAGAGCAGTGTGTACTCTTAACTGCCCAGTCATCTCTTCAGTCCCTAATGGCACATTCTTAAAGAGCTTGTTGACATGTTGTAACTAATGGAGACTGTGGTAATAAGGAAAGAGGCCTGGAATCTTCTCGCAAAACTCTGGATATTTGTAAGTGTTTATTATCACAGACACAATCTACTTTGGCCAAACTCTGAAGTTGTTACAAAGCTGATATTTATTCTGTTAGGGCAACAGGAGCATTTGTAATTATGTAGATCTTCTGTGGCTGGGTGCTGTCAGTGGTACAGTAAGTGCCTAGCAAGTCTGAAAGCATGGGCTCCATCTCCAGCATCACTCAAAAAAGAATTAGAGGGCTGGAGAGATGGTTCAATAATTAAGAGCAAAGGCTGCTTTTCCAGAGGTCCTGAGTTCAATTCCCAGCAACCAGATGTTGGCTCACAACCATCCATAATGGGCTCTGGCGCCCTCTTCTGGCCTGCAGGTATACATTCAAGCAGAACACTGTGTACATAAACAAATCTTTAAGAAGAAAAAAAATAGAGTATCTTCCCCTTTATAAGGGACTTGGTTTTGTACAGCTGCTCTTCCAGTTCAGAATCTAGGCTGATGTCACTGGTGTCATTAGAAAGATAACAAGTTTGCTACAAGCAATGCTCCCAGATTTCTGTTTCTGGAACCAAACCTCTTTTTAGAATAATGTTGCAAAACGTTCAAAGACCTTTTGTACGAAGCATTCTGTTAGGTTGCTGAAAATAGACAAGGGTCAAGCCACCTATGTTCAGACTTCTGGGCAGGCATTTTCCAACTGTGTGTGCTACCTACAGGGAGCCATGTGGGAGATTTGTGATGAGAAGCCTAATTTGCTGACACTTGCCATTGGGCCCTGCTGACCTTGGATGCTGCCCCACAGTGCATAGACTCCTTGCTAAGTCTAATGGGGATAGGCGGGTAGTAATGAGTTAACCAGACCTAGTAGAATAATTGATGGTGTTTTACTGGGGAAAGAACTTACACAGAAGCAACAAGGGACCTGAAGGTGCCCTTGATTTCCCATCCTCTCCCTTTATCGGGTCACATCCACCTCTGTAACCAAGGGGCATGGCCACTGTTACAGGTTCTCAGGCAAATGTGTCCATCCAAATGGGCACTTCCCAATCCTCGCCTCCCTTAATGTTCTCATATATTCTTGCCCCTCTGGGTTTTGACTGATGAAGTTCTGCTCTTTAGTTCCCTTGTATGCATTCCTCATTTTCTGGATAACAGTGAAACACACAGCAGCTATGGCTGATCTCTGAATAGCTTCTATCACTAGTAAAACCATAATACCGCCAGCCTCTACACCCATGGCATCTGCCTCCAAAGATTCAGTGAACCTCAAGGGGGGAAACTAGCTGATTGATTGATTGATTTTTGTTTGGAGAAGGGGTAATCTTGATGCTAAGACTAGATTTCCCTGTATGGCCCAGGCTGGTCTCTAACTTGTGATCTGCCTGCTTCTGCCCCTTCAGCTACTGAAGGTGCAGGTGTGCACCACCTCTGGCTCTTGAAAACAGCTGTATTTTCTAGTTGCACCTGTGCACACTTGGTCTGTTCCTTTCCTGCTCTGTTATAGAGTAAAGCAGCGATTTACATTGTGTTTGGTATGTGTGAAGGTTCCTACATCTTGTATAAAGGGGCTTGAGCATCTGTGGATTTGGGGATACTGGGGCTCCTGGAACCTATCCCTGTGGATACTGAGAGACAACTGCCTTTCTCTCCAAGACCTAGTTCCAGTTCCAGGGCCTCTCCCCCCAGCACTTTCAGGATAAATATCAGCCTGTAGGAGGTTTTCAAAGAAAAAATTTTATAGACTTTGGGAGGTTCCATGTGGAATGGCAGGCAAGTCCAGTGGTTCAGATGGTTAAAAAATTTGCCAAAGGTACAAAGGACAGAGGGGATTGATTGAAATACACTACACATAAGCTGCAGGCCAGCTCCCGGGTGTCTGAGAGGGAACAGAAGTCTGTCATAGTAGTTATGGAGAAGTTACTTAGTCATCTTGTGGGCCCTTCAATCTGGTGAACATTTATTTCATTATCTTGGAAGACAATAAATTTTACAACATATGCTTTATTTCCCCTTGAGACTAGTCTTCTTCAGGTACATTAGATCATGGGAGTGAGGTTCCTGTGTAAGACATGTAGGTCACTAAGATGAGGTCCCAAGTAGTCATGGCCTTGATGTTGAAGTGTGGGGATTTTGATCTTGTTTTGGGGCTTTTTCCCTCTGGTGTGTAGATATATGTATGTGGGGATGGTTAGTCATCCTATTGCAGAAAAGTCCACATGGACTGTCTCTGGCTTTGTGTCACTTATTTTGATAAGTTCCCTCAGGGAAGAATGCAAAGCTCCCCTGTGACCTGCTTTTCTGGGAGAGCTGATGTTTGACAGTTTTCTAGAATGTTCTATGAAGTCTGATTTCTACTATTATCTTGATTTCCACTGAACAACCTACTTCCTTAAATACCCTGTTTCCTTATTATTTTTCCTTCAATGAGTTATTTCCCTTCCTGTTTCATGGAACTGTCTGCACCCATTTTCCAAGGAAGTCAGGAGCAAAAGTTTTCTC